TCTGAAGTTCAAGACTCAGAGGAGCTGACATTTCTTTAGATTTCTTTCTTTGCCAAAAAATAAATAAATTCAATCAAATATAGAACAGGGAACCCGGTAACGGTAACTTAATGAGAAAATTAATAGAGAACAATGAGAATAAATAAATAGTTCTGAACACAAATAACGCAGGCTCAAGTTTACAGGAAAGTGAGTGAGTGAGTGATTGAGTGAGTGACAGATTCGTCCCCCTCCAATAACTCTTCGATTGCTTCGCAATCTTCGAGTTAAAAATGAGCAATGATAGACCTTGATAAAGTATATYACGTGCATCTGTTACATTTCGAAAACGGTCTGTTGATTATAAATAAGACACCAGTATTGAAATGGACTTTCAAATCACCAATTCTTTGACGTTTSTTTGAGCTTTCTAAATTCTTCTTCCTTGAAACGTGAAAGATGAGATAGACAGGAGTAGCGATATTCAAAAAGCAGTTGACATCTAAAGCGCAAACGTCCTGTTTCCTATAGTTGGTCTCCCTGTGGTGAATTTTAAAATAGTAATACTGTTGGATAAAGAGACAAAAATATCAGCTGRTATCATTCTATKTAAATGCTACTTTGTAATAGATTGAAAGTGGACCCGAGGATGCTTAATTCGGGCTGTCAAGAGTTATCAATGTTGCCATCTTTCGTCAATGTCAAGTTCGAGCCTTAAAGAAATTGGTATTATTTTTTTGTCATTTTTCCCCTTCTTTTGTTCTCTGCTGATTTCTTTTCTTCTGAACCCATTTGGGTGAACAAATACCAGGCTACTGTAGGCTGCTTTACAAATGTGAGAATAATGTTTAACTAAATTGGCGAACGCGACCACCTTTGGGATTGAATTTGTAGAATTTTTCATTGTTTTTCCTCTCCCGTAAGTGACCACCCTGGACTGACGCAATAAAGGCGTGTGTTTAATTTATTTACAAAGAATGGCATGGAAGCAGTATCATTTGTTCAAAGATTTTATTCACTACATACAAACCACATGTTTTGAACTATTTGGGCCTCCTGTGTTGTAATTATCATTGTTTGGGTTTCCTGTKCTAACGTTCTCGTAAGCAACCACTTTTACCTGATCCCGAGGTGGTCGCTTACGAGAGAGTTGACTGTATTAGACATTGCAGTACTGCAGTAATAATAGTAATGTGATACAAATTTTAAGCAATAAGAGTCATATTCATTTTCTTTGACGTATTATTTTATAGGTTTGTTGATAGCATGCCTTCAGGAACAGTCTACATAGTGTTTTGCTTCTTATTGAGAATTGTTTCAGCCATTGGAGGATCCATGTCAGATACAGCTATTTTTGCAATTGTAGCTGGAGAGTTCCCAGATAATTTAGGAGCAGTCATGGTAATTATATTATATTTAATAGAGTACATTAATAATACGTTTGTGAAAGAAAATCTAAATAATTTAAATAATTATAATTCATATAATTATAATAGTTCACATTTAAGACTATTTCATTATTATAAGACTTTAATATGGTAATTGTTTCCTTTGTATTTCCTTTGCTTTGGTTGAAATAGCTATTTCAAATAGTTACTAATATCTACTATCATGTAGTTCCAGAAAATATCCCACCCCAACCGTGGAGGATATTTATGATCCCTTGGCCCTACGGAATTTCGATTTTTAAACAACTCCTCCCCCAACCSCCACCCCTCCAGAATTTCCGATAAAAAGTTAGGTATTACGAACCCCCACCTCTCTCTGAATTTCCGTCAATACAAGATACGCATATTAAAATCATTAACTATAATAATGTTAAAATACACCTGGCAATTTAAAATCAATTTTATCAGAAGAACACTAAAGTCGCGGAGATGGAAAAGCGAAGTCTATACCACCACATTGATTTGATATGCATGTATATCATTCCATAGACTTTATGGTCATCATTCTTTGCCTATTATCGAACCGTCACTTGAGTGTAAACAACCACGTGCTTTGTCTAACAAGTGAATCTAGAATCTTATTTAATACAATTATTCAATAAAGAAGGATTCTTTTGCCTTTTTCTATCATCAACCTTTGTTTCTTTTTAAATACATTCAAGTACGTAATACATGTATTGAGTTTTAGTTTTGCACACTTGTAAAAACAGGTACATGGGCATTTTAGCAAGGTAGTCATTCTACTGACAGTGGTCACTTGTATTTTCTTTCTTCAGTCGAAAGAAAACCCATTTTGTGTAGAAGCTGTCTGTTTGAAGCACAATTTTCATTTAAATTCACTTATTTCTAGCAAGCTAGAGTGTGGTAATAATGCATACCGGTAATAGATTTTTTTGGAGATCAATTGCAGATTCCAAGATTTCMAAGCCACTTYAACCCCCAACCCCTCGGAATTTCCGAAATCCTCCATGGTGGGGGTATGGATATTTTCTGGAACTACACATTTCACAAAACAAAACAAAATTAATATATGAAATTCTCAAATTTATTGTGCACGTACATGACATTATACACTGTGGTATTGTTGTGCCAAACCGAATAGTTTGCATTAATGGCACATGAACAGCTGAGGTTCAACGAAAGGCCCGCTGTTKCACAGCATCTGATTCAGATAATTATCGAGTTCTTGCTATACCAAACTTAATACACAATGTTTCTTGTTTCAACAATAATGTTTTTAAATAGTGTATTTAATGGATTTTATCAGTCCTTTTCTTTTGCTTTTTTATTTGGATTGACATATGAATCAATGCCATGTCAAATAATGTATTTTTSGATGTTGCCCTTATCGGTATTTTTAATGGCAGACTYCTGGATTGTCCATAATTAATGTAAAAAATGTGCCTGGATCTGATGAACTTGTGGTAGATTGTTGTCATTTTCTTGCAGGTTTTCCAGTGGAACTCCCCACTATATTCCCCTACTTATTATGA